GGGAGAACAAATCCCCCCCCTCAGCCCCATATGCAGGCGATGCAGCCCCCGGAGCCAGCGCGGGCCGGTGGAGGTGAGTACTGAGATCTCAATTATCTTATTTTATCCCCAAAACGTGTCCAGCCCCTGCCAGCCTCTCCATGCGGGGGTTTCCCACAGCCACGCAGGGTGGTGGGTGGCCCATCGCTCCCCCAGTCGGTGCCCCCATCTCCTTGGCACCGTGTTGGAGATGTCACGGAGGACACCTCCATCCATCCAGCACCGACCCGGGCTCTCCGCACCCCCACTTAATTTCCTTTCCTCCTCTCTCACCTGGCTTTTGGAACCGCCTGGGATTCCTCATCCACAGGACACCCGCCTCCCGCTAATGCCGCAAGACACTGCAGCCCAAAGAGGGAAAGTCCAGCAAAGTTTCGGGCTTAATATCGCAGGTTTCGGGCAATTTCACTACAGCCTTTGCTATCGCTGTGCTAAGGAAGCCGGTTCGCGCGGGAGCATCTGATGCCAGCCGGAGCATCTTGCTCTAGCAGCCTCAATGTTTCTTTGCCTTCTCCCAGGCTGGTGCTGCAACCCCCCCAGCACCTTTCTGCAGCCCCACTGGAAAAGTGTCAGTCTAATCCTGCACCCAGGACACGGGGTCTAGAGGCTGGAGCCCTGGGGAAGCTGGTGATCCCGGCAGCTGGGATCTTGGCGCGTGAGCTGAGCACCAGCAGAGGGATGGGGAGATGACACGGCCGCCCACGATGCAGCGGCTTTGCAGTGCTCCTTGAGAACAAGTGGTGGAGCTGAGCCTCAAAGCCAAAATATGCCTTTTCTTGCCTTAAAATCGCAGCCTGGGTTTGCCCAGAGTAAGTGCTCTCACGGCTGCAGGCAGCCTCCCACATCCCTGCCGGCGTCAAGCTGGGGTAACCCAAGGGTGGGTGCTGCACAGCCCTGCTCCCCTCCATCAACCTGGAGTGACAAAATGCTACCCCACCTCCACCAGAAGCTCCCAGATAATGACCGTAATGATGTCTAATTATCACTGCCCCAGCCCATCTCTCCCTTGGGTACTGCCGCTTTGACGGAGAGATTTCACAGGGTCTCAAGCTGCAAAGGAGAAGCAGCAGGACACCTGGGAGCAGAGATGTCCCCGGGCTGGCCGTGCCCAAGGACCACACGGACATGGCTCCCACATGGCCAGAGTGTTGTGGTGTTGGGACCTGGATTTCTCCTCCTTGGTTCATCCCTAATTAAAAAAAAGAAAAAGAAAAACATGAGAACAAGCTGTCTCCTGGGCTGGTTTAATTCCTCAACAAAATAATGATTGAAACAATAATGGTATGAAATAATAATGATTGAAATAATAACGGTATGAAATAATAATGGTATGAAATAATAATTCCGCTGCAGTGTTGCCATACTTTGGGCTGTGTAACCCAAGGAGGAGAAGACGTGTTGGTGCCCTGAGCCCAGCAGGACACATCCCAGACAGGCTGTGCACTGGTGCAAATATGAAAACCCACCTCCAAAGGCATTGAGAAATTAAGGGAATAAGTGTTTTATCCTCTCCCAGCTTCATCCTCCTGCCTTCCCTTTCCCAGGCCCTTCCAACGGCAGCTGGCCCAACTCCACCGCAAGCGAGAGCCACCTCCTGAGGGAGAACTACACCTTCTTGGCGTACTACCAACACTCCTCCCCCGTGGCTGCCATGTTCATCCTGGCCTACACCTTCATCTTCCTCATGTGCATGATCGGCAACTTCCTGGTGTGCTTCATCGTGGTGAAGAACCGACAGATGCGGACGGTCACCAACATGTTCATCCTCAACCTGGCCATCAGCGACCTGCTGGTGGGCATCTTCTGCATGCCCACCACCTTGGTGGACAACCTCATCACAGGTGAGCGGGGCAAGATGTGAGAGAGGAGAGACAGTAGTGGGGAACATTACCCACCTTCTGCCTCCCACACGAGGCCTCCCCACGGGTGATTTTTTTGCTGAGGATGAGGAGGGTAGGTGGTGGCCGCTCAAGCACATTTGACGAAAGGTATCATTTAATTTAGAGCTATTACCTCAGAGGGCAAGCAGCCTTTGTTTTTTGAGGTTTGGGACATTCTTGGCAAAATAAGTATGACCTTACTGCTGCATTTACATATTTCTTTGAAGTTCAGCCATTCTCTATCAAGCAACACTAAAAAGAATCATAGAATGGTTTGGGTTGGAAAGGACCTTAAAGATCACCTAGTCCCAGCTCCCCTGCCAGAGGCAGGAACACCTCCCACTAGACCAGGTTGCTCAAAGCCTCACCCATCCTGGCCTTGAACACATCCAGTAATGGACCATTCACAGCTTTCCTGGGCAACCTCTGCCAGTGTCTCACCGCCCCAACAGTAAAGAACCACTTCCTAATTTCTCATCTAAACATCCCCTCTTCCAGTTTGAAGCCATTACTACTCATCCTGTCACCACAAGCCCTTGTAAAAAGTTCCTCCCTGCCTTTCTTACAGGCCCCCTGTAATTACTGAAAGGCCACAACCAGGTCTCCCTGGAGCCTTCTCCTCTCCAGGCTGAGGTTCCTCTGGCCCTGCTCCAGCAGGTCCCTGTCTCTGCTGTGCTGAGGACTCCAGAGCTGCCCCAGCACTGCAGGGGGGTCTCCCCAGAGTGGGGCAGAGGGGCAGGATCCCCTCCCTGCCCTGCTGCCCACGCTGCTGGGGGTGCAGCCCAGGAAGAACCCTTTTCTTCTTGCTTCTCCTGTGCTGGCTCAGCTCTGCCCATTGACCTTTCCAGAGATCAAAGGTGCTGTTGGCACAGAGCTGGCAGTTGGCAGAGTCCAGCCTCAGCAGCAGGCGGGGCGCAGGGCAGAGTCTGTATTTGTCTATTATGGGGCACGATAGAACCTTAGCATTGGGGTCAAGAAACAAAACAAAAGACCTTCAGATAAAGGATCCCAAGGTTGGTCCCCAAGATAACAGTTCAAGCCCTACGTAAGGGTAGGAGAAATGACAACCACCATGCTCCTTGAATTTCCAAGTGCAATATGCATCTTTTTTACCAATTCTGTTTTTTTTCCTCCAAGCATCTACACTGCTAAAGGTCATCTCTGTATGAGCCAAAAGTGCAATCCCCTCTTAGGAGCCCCTCCACCAATGACATGGTGGATGGGGACATCTAGAGGGAGCTGCTGATGGACCAGGCTGAGCCAAAGACACCTACAATCTCCATGGTGTTGCCTCACAGGTTGGCCCTTTGACAACGCCATGTGCAAAATGAGCGGCTTGGTGCAGGGCATGTCTGTCTCCGCCTCTGTTTTCACACTGGTGGCCATTGCCGTGGAGAGGTACGTTGGCATGGGGGACCTGGGGATGGAGCCTCCTCTCAGTGTGTTCGGGTGTCCCATGCTGTTTCCGTCACGGGAAGGCTCCTGGGGATGTCCAGGAGTGTGTCTCAGCTCTCCAGGAAGACCACAAAACTGTCCATGGGTGACCTCAGCAAGGTGTCCTTCCCCAATTTGGGCTGTAAATACCAAAGCTGAAGAGATCTCAACTAGTCTCTGCCTCCAAAAGCCATATGTAAAGAGCAACCCACCTTACCCTCCCTTCCCACCCCCGGGTCCTGTCCATCCTCCTTCCCCAGAGATGTCCAACCAGGTGCTCCAAGCCACCA